AGAAGGCTATTTGGGTTGAAAGCTAAGCTCTTGAAAATTAGGAAGCATCATATTTAAAACAGCATATGACTTAAGCTCCATTTGCATTAATCCTCTTTTTAACTGTTAAGATCACATACTATTTTTCCTGCAAATCATTGGCTCATTCAGCGATCTGGGTGGCTCACAACATAGAACTGCATATGCGTAACCCTAAAGTAGACATTTTCTGACTTACAGGTCTGACTTTGCAACCAAAGTAGTTGAACACACATTTTTAAACATAGTTTCACTTGCATGTAATGCTATGGGTGCACATGGTGCTTTACATGATGAAGGAAAGATACAGCAATTGCAACAAAAAAAAATCTTAGTTGAAATATATCAAAGCAACACTGAACCCTAGACAAGATAAAATGAAAGTGAGACAGAGGGAGGACCTCTTTATGCTGAAAATATTATGATTTTGAATCATGCAAGAAATAAGCCGATATTGCATTTTATAGTGCTTAGTTAATGACAAAAGTATCATTAGAAAACCTCCACTGCTACATGAGTTTACAAGAAGGTCTGTCTTTCATTATACTCATGCAAAACCAGTGATTTCAACAGGATTACATGGATGTAACAGAGCTCATTGTGACCTTATAACTAAATTAAGAATTAAACCCTAATACATCACTCCTGTCAAGCCAAATCCAAAGCTCAGCAAATAGGTGGACTGAAATATGATAGAGCAACTGAAATAAACCTTCCACTGTCTTTTACCCAGCCTCTGCCCCCAGTGCACCATTTAAGAACGTAGTGGAAAAAAAGGTTTCCATTCTCCTTGAGCAGGAGCCTCTAGAGCCAAAGAATGTACAACAGCCAAGTTCTACCTCACAGATAACAAACCATCATTTATTATTTTTCTCTTGAAAGTGGAATTTCACTAAGTATGCTCGTGTCCACTGACACTACAAAAATACTCCGAAAAGTATCAACAGAGTTTGGAATTTTTTTCAAGTCAAAAAACTGTAAACTCCCCATTTTCCAACACTACAGATTCCAGACTTGCCCCTTATATTATTAAACCTAGCAAGTGTGTGACAAATGAGTTCCAACAGCACACAGCATCAGGCTAGAACCAGTGAGGAGAGGAAAAGGAGGAATCAAATCACGGTCTTCCTCTCACACACCAACTAGCAACAAAGATTCTGCAAATAGCACTTAGCTGACACTTTAGGTGATAACACATGAGGCAGAAGGGAGTCCAGCTCACTCTCCTGTGTCAATATCAGCTCTGCAGTGTTCACAGAGATAAAGTATTTTGCCTGTTAAGTAATCCCATTGTCCAGGAAGCAGATGAGTTGAGCACCACTATACCGACATAACACCCCGTTTGTTGCTTTTACAGAGTATGCAGGCAGTTTTATACTGCATAACAAGATCAGTTAATTGCTGTTCTATTGCCAGGTAATGCAACTAATTTAAATTAATACTGATGATATATTATAGATAAATTTTAGTCATATCAAGATCTTGTAGGGCTATCCAGTTTCTCCTCCTAATTTGGATGTAATCACATGTAATAACAGCGATACCATGCTCTTGACCATGCTTGAGGTTTTGCTAGTTCTGTCCCTCTGTGCTAAAAGTAATCTGTGATGCAATATTACTGCAGAGTCTAAAGCTGCAGTGTATAGACCATCAGAGACGGAACAGCAAGCTGCCAGGTAGCCAGGTTTCAGGGAGTCCCCACTGAACCCAAGTTGGAGTAATAACACAACAGCACCTGGGGCCAGGAGAAGGGAAGTATTATTAGCTGTATGCATCTTTTACAGGGCACCTTCAGAACTGTAATCGTGCAAACACCTAACTAACCTTTGGGAACAGACCCGGCGACAGGGAAAACGTCTACAGTGTGCCTTATGTTCTGCATTTATGCTGTCAGTCACAATCTGAAAATACTTCAGCTGAGTAGCAGGCTTGCACTGACAGCATACATCGCTCACTTAGCTCATCTTAATTTTCTTACTGACCTTTTCATAAACTGATTGGAGTTAATATCTTCGTCCCATCTACTACTCCAGTTCTTAAGCTAGAATAGCTGATGCTACTCCTGCTACGTGTCCTCTTTGCCCACTGTTGTCTTTAGCATGGTTTAGCAGTTACTGCTTGCAAACCACATCTAACTTTTTGTACAACTTACACCGCTTTTTACCCTTCAGGTAAAACCCACACCTTGCACTAAGTAGAGGAAAGTCCATTTTGCAATCCAATGGGTAGCATCAGGACAGAGCTGCAAAAACTCCACTTTGTTCAGAAACATAGAGGAATGAGTATGCACATCCATTGCTTCAGGAATGTGGGCTCTTTACTCAGTCACTTCCCTGACTGTAAGCCTACTCTTCAGTGTTTAGAAACCATAACAGTTTGAAGCAGTACACCTTTGCTTCTTACTCCACATCCTCTGTAAATGATCCCTTCTCCGCGCAGAATATACTGCCTCACAATACAGATATTGTTCACAAGATCAAGTAACAGCTTTCCGCATACAAGATAATTGCTGCATAATGTTAATCGTAGTATCTTGTTGCAAAGCACTTATGTCCCACTATTGTACCATCTAATTTATAATACTCCCTACTCCCCTACTATGACTGTGCTATTAACAACCCTTTCACAAGTGTCCTGCAGGAGCTTGCAGCACCTTCACAGGAACTGCCAGAAAACTGTTGACTATCAACATTGTCTCATGTGATCCATGTTCAGGTAGTAACGTTTACAGCACATTAAAAACATACAGGTTGATTATGCTTCTTTGTGCAAATTACAGTACTAAGTCTTGCAAAACACCTAGGAAACCTGTCAGTTGCATCACAAAACAGCAGTTTCTGACTCCATGCACCTATAGCATGACAGGTGTCCTGTGTTCACACAAATGAGCCTCCTCTGCTGATTGCAATCACAGCTGTAAATATCCCTACATCGTTACTCCTTTCATTCCTTTTATATAGGCAATCTTCTGCAGCTGTTACAATGGTCTCAGGTGCATGCCCTACTTAATGTAGAGCTCGTAGGTCGGTTTACTCTTAAACCCCCATGAAAGAACGAGGAAATTCTACTGGAGACACATTTAGCAGATCTTTTTCCTAACTTCAGCATACTAACAAACCTAGAAACCATGCGTGTTCATGTACTATTTTCCCCCTAAGTAAGGTTACTGTGACATGCTATCCTGTTACAGCACATCAGTCCTCACAATTTATAGATTTCACCTCTATAGAGACATAACAAAAAAGGCTGCCTATTAAGTTTATTACATCTTTACAGAAGGCAAACTGAAAATTCTATGGTTAAGAGCAATCTGAATAGATTTTTACTTCAAAAACGAAACTACTGCCTCTTTTCTTGTGACAAACAACGATGCTAGTCTAGGACAGAAGGTTTCCAAGAAAAGCTGCAGCATCTTATAGATTTATGGCACTCTCTCTCAGTGAAGAAATTGTTCAAGTGGCTGTATGGCAGAGATATTAGACGTTAGGTGGGTTTTCACGTAAAGAGAGAGTAAAAGCGGCTTTCCCGCTGAGGCATTATTGAGGTGATTTGCATTTGGGAACCCCAAGCAAGAAGCTGGCACCCCGCGCCCATCCTGAGGCACGGGGTCCGCAGGGGTCTGGCTGCGGGGGAGCGAACACGACGCCGAGAAGCGGTAGCTGAAGGCGGGGGTGCCCGGAGTCCCCCTACCCCACGTCGTCGTCCCCCCACAGGCCCCCTTCTCCTCAGGGAACAACGCGGCACCACAGGCGCCCAGGGCCCAAAGACCCCCCTGCCCCGCTCCGCCCGTCGCCTGACTGACCCCGCGGGAGGGTGCTCCGGCCCCGCCGCAGGCCGGCCCGCAGCTGGGCGCCCTAAGATCCCCTCCGGCCCCGCCGCCGGCAAGTTGGCGTGAGGCGGCGCCCGCCGCCAAACTTTCTTCGCCGCTG